CTGTCAGATTCTCTCACATTCCCTTAAATTCTCTCAAAATCCTTCCAATTCTTTTCGAATCTCCCAATTTCTCTCAGATTCCCTCAAATTCCTCCAGAGTCTTTCAGATGCTTTTAGATTCTTTCATTTTTTTCTGATTCTCTCAGATTCTCTCGATTTTCACACATTCTGGTAGATTCTCCCAGAGCCTTACAGATTTTTTACCTTTCAAATAATCTCAGATCCTTCCAGATCCTTTCAAATTTTTCCACATCGCTTCAGATTCCTGCAAACGGATTCAGATTCTTCCAGATTCCCTCAAATTTCTCCAGATTCTTTCAAATCCTTTCATTTTCTTTACGACTTTTCCTTTTGAATCGAAATCCTCAAGATTCTTTAAGATTTTTCAGTTCTGTTCAGATTGTTTGAGATCCTTACAAATCCTTTCAGATCCCTGCAGACTCTTCCAAATTCTTCCGGATTCGTCCAAACTATCCAAATTCTATCAGATTCCTTCAAATTCCTCCAGATTCTTTCGCATTATTCCGGATGCTTTTCGATGCTTCCGGATTGTTTCAGATTCTTTCGAATTTTTGCAGATGTCTTCAAAGACACCATCAGGAATTTTTAAGATTCCTTCAATTTTTTTAGTTTTATTTAGATCATTTCAGATCCTTCAGTTTTTTAGATTCTCTTAGATTTTTATAAATTCTTCGAAATTCCTCAACATTCGCTCAGATTCTCACAAATTCACTCAGATTCCTTCAGATTCTTTTCGAGTCTTTCAGTTTTTCTCAGATTCTCTCAGAATCACTCAGATTCCTTCAAATTCTCTTAAATTCCCTCAAATTCTCTCGATTTTCTCACATTCTCGTAGATTCTCCCAGAGCCTTTCAGATGTTTTACCTTTCAAATCATCTCAGATCCTTTCAAATTTTTCCACATCGCTTCAGATTCCTGCAAACTAGTTCGGATTCTTCCAGATTCCCTTAAATTCCTCCAGATTCTTTCAAATCCCTTCATTTTCTTTACGACTCTTCCTGATGAATCGAAATACTCAAGATTCTTTCAAAATTTCAGTTCTGTTCAGATTATTTGAGATTCTTACAAATCGTTTCAGATCCCTGTAGACTCTTCCAAATTCTTCCACATTCTTCCAGATTTTTTTAGATTCTTTTAGATTTTGCTAGATTCTTTGAGATTCTCTTAGATTCTTACAAACTATCTCAAATTTTCTCACATTCTCTTAAATTCTCTCAGAATCCTTCCAATTCTTTCCGAATCTCCCGATTTCTTTCACATTCTCTCTGATTCCCTCAAGTGCCTCCAGATTCTTTCAGATGCTTTTACATTCTTTCATTTTTTTCTGATTCTCTATTTCAGATTCTTTCGATTTTTTTTTAATTTTTTCGCATTATTCCGGATGCTTTTCGATGCTTCCGGATTGTTTTAGATTCTTTCGAATTTTTTCAGATGCTTTCAAAGACACCGTCAGGAATCCTTAAGATTCTTTCAAATTTTTCAGTTTTATTTAGATTATTTCAGAACCTTTCAGATTCCTGCAGATTCTTCAAAATTCTTCCAAATTCTTCCAGTTTTTTAGATTCTCTTAGATTTTTTTAAATCCTTAGAAATTCCTCAAAATTCGCTCAAATTCTCACAAGTTCTCTTAGATTCCTTCAGATTCTTTTCGAATCTTCCAGTTTCTCTCAGATTTTCTCAGAATCCCTCAGATTCTCTCAGATTCCTTCAAATTCTCTTAGATTTCCTCAGATTCTCTCGATTTTCACACATTCTCGTAGATTCTCCCAGAGCCTTACAAATTTTTTTACCTTTCAAATCATCTCAGATCCTTCCAAATCATTTCCAATTTTTCCACATCGCCTCAGATTCCTGCAAATTGGTTCAGATTCTTCGAGATTCCCTCAAATTCGTCCAGATTCTTTCAAATTCTTTCAATTTCTTTACGACTCTTCCTGCTGAATCGAAATACTCAAGATTTTTTAAAATTTTTCAGTTCTGTTCAGATTGTTTGAGATCCTTACAAATCCTTTCAGATCCCTGCAGACTCTTCCAGATTCTTCCAGATTTTTCTAGATTCTTTTAGATTTTGCTAGATTCTTCAAGATTCTCTCAGATTCTTACAAACTATCTCAAATTCTTCCAGATTCTCTCGGATTCTCTCACATTTCCTTAAATTCTCTCAGAATCCTTCCAATTCTTTCCGAATCTCCCAATTTCTCTCAAATTCCCTCAAATTTTTCTAGATTCCCTCAAATTTCTCCAGATTCTTTCAGATGCTTTTAGATTCTTTAATTTTCTTTCTGATTCTCTCTTTCAGATTCTTTCGATCGGATGCTTTTCGATGCTTCCGGATTGTTTCAGATTCTTTCGAATTTTTTCAGATGCTTTGAGATTCTTACAAATCCTTTCAGATTCCTGCAGGCCCTTCCAAATTCTTCTGGATTATTCCAGATTTTGCTAGATTCTTTTAAGTTTTGTTAGATTCTTTCGGAATCTCTCAGATTGTCTCGATTCTCTCACATTCCCTCAAATTCTCTCAAATTCCCTCAATTTTCTCCAGATTCTTTCATTTTCTTTTTGATTCTGTCTTTCAGATTCTTTCGATTTTTTTTTAATTCTTTCGGATTATTCCGGATACTTTTCGATGCTTCCGGATTGTTTCAGATTCTTTCGATTTTTTTCAGATTCTTCCAGATTTTTCTAGATTCTCTCAGATTCTTAGAAACTCCGTCAAATTCTCTCAGCTTTATTCACATTTTTCCAAATCATTTCAGATCCCTACAGACTCTTTCAGATTCTTCTATTTTCCTCTAGATTCTTCGAAACAGCTAATATCCACCTACCAAGATAAGAATAACAATAATTTTTCACATTTATTTTTAAAATATTAGAAAAAAAATTATTGGGCGGACATGTCTCGGTGAGAAAAATAAAAATAATAATACATTTACATTTACATATTATTATTATATGTATTATCTATGCTGTATTCATAAAGTCACTATAAATTAACCATGGTTATTGGTCTTTGATTAAGTAAGTACATACCATGGATGAATGAATATAATTATATGTTTATATTTGTATATATTTTTTTGTATTAATTTACTCGTTAATTTATAAATATATTCTTTCCCATCCTATTGTTCGGAGCGAAGATGCCGACGACCGGCGAACAAGAGATGGCGCTCCAACATATAGAGACCATTCAGTAGTGTCGCTATTTTTAGTGACCAGTTTTCATAGGTGGTCGTTTGTCTTGTGACCGTATGAGGGCGCGCAATTGATGTCTGTGACTTTAATCTGAATATTTGAAATTCGGCAATTTACAGTTCACATTGGTTTTGCCGGTTTTGCTTGCTTAAGACTGCTCCCACGGTGGAAGTGGTGGAACTATAGTTTTACTAGTTTTTTTCTTTACTACTTCAGATATTTAATTAAACGTAATTTTGCCAGACATTCTAAAAATATTATTCGTATATTAATAGGACCATTGTTTAATAAATGTATATAGTTTTTTTAGTAATAAAATGCCACAAGACAGAAAACATACTAATAAAATGTAAGTCGTTATTCGAAAACCTGGACCGAATTTAAATTTTAACGACATCCCTGTTGTATGCCGCTTATTCCCTCTCTTATGTTTGAAATTGTCGGAAAAAATCGTAAACAGAAGACACTTTTTGTATAAAAATTTATCGCAAACGGACAGCAAAGGTCATGTTGTGGTAAAATTAAATATGAAGACAAGAAACAAACTCTACAAATAAATAACAGCACGTAACAAAAAAAACATAGATAGAATATTTCCCGATAACTAATTATAGTTTTTATATTCATTACTTATTATAGCAGATTGTGTAGTGTTATTGTTACCTTAAAAAATTTGCAAAATTTTACAGCATTCCGTTTTTACAGTTTCAAAGTTAAACTTGTTAGACAATTTTTATTTTTTCCCCAAAAATCTGGGTGCCAAGGGTAAAAATTCAACAGGGATTCATAAATCACACGTACAAGAGCTTGTTATTTTATAAAATTTAACGAAAATGTATTCGGCGAATTGGAAGATGACGTCATCAATTTTTTGGGGAGGTGATAATAGGTTTTGCATTTAAAAGTTAAATTGTAAAATACAGTTTTGAATATTTTCTTGATGTGTAGGGTTAAAATTCAACACGAATTCATAAATTACAAATGCAGGAGTACCTTATTTTATAAAATTTAAATACGAGGAAGTAAATATGAATAACTTGGATATTTATACTTGTAAATCAAAATCACAACAATAAATTCGCAACCTAAATACATAAGTAGGTACAATCTAAGTACCAATAAATCGAAGGATTAAGCCGCAATAAAATATTGGAATTTCCATGGGAATTCGCCGAATGCCGCTCCTGATGCGAACATTTGTTGCTTATTGAGTTTAATCCACCGATTTTGATAAGGGTGACTATGTAAATTATAAATAAAACTTCTTAATTTTATCAAAATAACAGTGCTAAGCACATATAATACGAAAATATTTATAAATGTGATATTAAAATGTAGAAATGTTATAACAATATTAGATTGAGATAATCGGTGTTTAGATATTATAAATTTAACGCAACTTAACTGTTAACTTATGTCGATGTGTCTACAAAATGGCCTTGCGTTTCGGATACCTATATGTGCGATAAGAAACTGACATATTTGCTAAACCTGCGATAACAGTATGTTAAACTGAAAACATTTACTCCACTTTATCACTCTTGGTTTGTTTTTTTGGATCATGCGGAATTTCACTAAGCAATTGTAAGAAGAGGAGTTTTATGTGCGCTGTATATGGCAGTGAGAGAGAACAGCGAAATTAATCAGACTTAGAAAGTGACGAATATCAACATCTTGCAGACTCTCCATATATGTATTTAACTGTTGAACTCACGTGGGTGCACTGGGCATGACGTATCGTGCTGGAGAACCTGATTCTCGCTGGAAACGTACATGCTCTTCACTTTCAAAAAGAGCGCGGTCGCGTTCGCACGTACCGATTCCAATTTTGTGTTATTATTTATTACTCTTATTTTTTTTTTTTTGTTATTTTTATATTAGTGAACCAAGTGCCTTACAATGACAGTGAATAAGACAACTTCCAAAACTAAAAAAAAGAGTACAGTGTCGAATTCGGCCAGTTCGACCTCAGTGGCCAGCACATCCAAAACTACGAAATCAACAAAAACGTCAAAAGTGGTGGGTTCGAGTTCGACTTCGGTTGAATATTCGCAAAATGTGGGAGATTTATCGAAGGCATCGTCTTCGTCCAGTCTGCAAATATCCGACATTTCCCATTTACCGGTAGATGCAAATGTGGTCACTTACACCGTAACGGAGACCTTACCTACCGGTAGTGGCGAAAAAATCACAGTTTATGATGAATCTGGAGGAACGAGTACGGAATATCGCCATTTCGTGGCAAGGGATTCGGCGTCTAAACAATCATCGAACGCCAACATCACCCAAATTAGCTCTATCTTAAATCGTTCCACGTCGAATGTATCTCAAGAATCGGGCTCAACTTACACTGTGACTGAACCGAGGGAAGAAATGAAATTAACATACAATAAAAACGATTCAGGATGGAATGGTAAGTTTGTTTACGAGCAGCCTGCGGGCAGAAAAAATCAGCTTGTGAGTCGTGATCATGGTACTATTGTGGAACAGTCGTCAACATCGGATTCCCATGAAGAACGATCGTCTTCAGTTAAAAGTTCCTCCAGTAGTTACGTTATTGAAGTGGTGGATGGTAAAGAACGAATCGTTGATCAGAAACATCATGAATCCGCCAGCGCAGCGTCCGAAGTCAACAAAGAACACTTGTCGATGAAAGCAGGTACTAATATTACCCCTGAAATACACTATAAACAAGAAGCTAAAGAAAGTTCCACTAAGTATGACTCGGCTATACCCGAATACCAGAAGCCGAAAACCCAATCATCAGAAGCGGTAAGAGAAATACACCAAGTGGGGGATGTACACTCGTCCAGCTCTCACGTCACGAAGGACAGTTCTAAGGCTATTCGTGACAGTCGCGACAAAAAAGGTAGAGATTCACACACTGCTCTACAAGATAGTCATGACAGTCATGACAAGAAGTCAAGCAAAATTAGAACTGACACTAACTGGGATGGTTCCTTTATTGTTGAGAAGTCGAACAACGCAAAAAAGACCAGAAAAGGAGCTACTGATTCACGGGATTTTTACGGTACTAGTACGAGCAGAAGCGATTCAAAAACGTCCGATCATCTTAGAAAAAGTTCAAAGACTGGAGGAGTCACCACCACCACCACTACATACTATGATTCAAAGGGTAACGTAATTAGGACTGTCTCTGAAGATATTCCTATCTCGGAAACAGTTAATGTATCCGATTCTGCGAATACTTACGTCACCGATGAAACAATTTCAACCACTTTTGTAGACAACATTGCTTCCTCTTCAACCACAAATCAGTCGAATGTAAAAACGACTCATTCGTCCAATTTGGTTGACCGAAAAGACCTAGTTTCAACTACAGACTCCACTGATAATCGTTTCCTCGTAGACAAAACTTACCAGACAGACGAAAACTACACCAACACTTCGAAATTTCGCAATAGTCAAATGTCCAGCGATTCGAAAAATTTTTTTGATCATGGAACCGTCAGAAATGTTTACGATGACAAAGCAGTTGTGGACAACCTTGCTTCCTCTTCAACCACAAATCAGTCGAATGTGAAAACGACTCATTCGTCCAATTTGGTTGACCGAAAAGACCAAGTTTCAACAGATAATCGTTTCCTCGTAGACGAAAATTACACTAACACTTCGAAATTTCGCAATAGTCAAATGACCAGTGATTCTAAAAATTTTTTTGGTCATGGAACCGACTCATCAAAGACAGTCGTTAGAAATGTTTACGATGACAAAGCGGTTCAGAACACAATCGGTACAAAAGGAAGAGTAATAAAGGATAACATAATCGATTCGACTGATGTAATTTATTCGAACGATCGTAACTACGGAAAAACGGGTTGGAACGGCAAATTTACTTACGAAACACCGACTAAGCCTAAAAGAGACGAACCGGGGAAAAAACGGACACCGTCGCCGTCGAAACAGCCGGGCGCGAAGCCGCGGGACGAGAAAAAGCCGACAACGCAAAAACCGGGAGCGAGTCCGAAGGGAAAAACGACAAAAAACGTGCAGGATTTTTTATCAACTGAGGTTAGTGAAAATATTAACCAATTCACCGATACAGACACAATCATTGACCGCAAAAATTTTACTACTAAAGATTCTAAGATTTTTGTGGACAATCAGTCGGTTGATTCGTATCAAGTTCGAGATTTAGCTGCTGGACCTGGAAAGTATCCTCGAGGCCCCGATTTTCCAAACGAATCTATTACAACTGAATTTTATGAAACTTTTACTGACAAAAAAGACAATGTTGACGTACTGAATCAAACATTTACAATTAAAGAAACAACTACGAAAGATCGCGATAGACCCAGATTAAAAGACTCCAGACTTCCTGACTCCGTGACTTACACAGACAGTTTCGAAAATTTTGAAACCATCTCCGATTCGAAAACTATAATCAAATCGGACTCGAAGACGTTTGTTGACAAAAAGAGTTTCGAAGAACATTATGTAATAACAGATAATTATGAAGATACAAATACACGAAGAATTACAGACGATGTAAAGACTGTCAGAGGTAAACCTGGAAGGACTGACGATTTTCCAAAACAGAGTCCAAAAACCACAGTGAAGACAATTGACGATGGTACACTTGGAACTGAACCAAGAGATCGCGATAGACCCAGATTAAAGGACTCCAGACTTCCTGACTCCGTGACTTACACAGACAGTTTCGAAAATTTTGAAACCACCTCCGATTCGAAAACCATAATCAAATCGGACTCGAAAACGTTTGTTGACAAAAAGAGTTTCGAAGAACATTATGTGATAACAGATAATTATGAAGATACAAATACACGAAGAATTAAAGACGATGTAAAGACTGTGAGAGGTAAGCCTGGAAGGACTGACGATTTTCCAAAACAGACTTCAAAAACCCCAGTGAAGACAATTGACGATGGTACGCTTGGAACTGAACCAAGAGATCGCGATAGACCCAGATTGAAAGACTCCAGACTGCCTGACTCTGTGACTTATACAGACAGTTTCGAAAATTTTGAAACCATCTCCGATTCGAAAACTATAATCAAATCGGACTCAAAAACGTTCGTTGACAAAAAGAGTTTCGAGGAACATTATGTAGTAACAGATAATTATGAAGATACAAATATAAGAAGAATTACAGACGATGTAAAAACTATCAGAGGTAAGCCTGGAAGGACCGACGATTTTCCAAAACCGACTTCAAAAACGACAGTGAAGACAATAGATGATGTTAAGAAAACGGACAAGTTGACAAGCACAAGTACGACAGAAGATATTAGTGTGAAAAATTTTACCGACAAGAAATACGTAACTACAGATGTTACGGATATCGTAAGCAAAAAGACAATAGACGAAGTCGATAAAGTTTACATTAAAGAAAATATTGTCGATGTCAAAACCATAGTAAGTATGTATATATTTTATAAGAACTAAATAAGAACTGTATTTTTTTAGGACGAGGTTGAAAATATTACCAATATTGAGCGATTTAGTGACAACAAAGTTATCAACATCGTCAAGACTATAAGAGAGCCTAAGGAGCCTGCTAAAGTGAAAATTCCAAACAAAGAACAATGTATTTGCGAGCTGTGCACATGTGGGTAAGTAAATTTTACAAAACTTTTAAATACACCAGTTATTTATTATAAAGTTATACAAAACATCATATCTGTCTTATTGATAAACATATAAAATAATAATTATTATTAGAACGGCGCCACATCAAGCGATTTTTATGTCTTAATTAAGTTTAATAAAATAATCACAAACCTAATTTAAAAGTGATTACAGCCACATTGCTGATAAAATTTAGTAAAGTTAATGTTATTTGTTACCTCAAAACATTCGAGTCCGTCGACTGACTCTCTACTTTTGCATTTTCTCTACCTGTCATGACCCCTGGAGGTCTGTCTGTCCGTCTGTCTGTCGTCCCGGATTTTTATTAGACAGATAATCTCCGATTGTTGTCAAATTTTGCACTCATGTAGATGGTAAAACGCTAACCAAAATTACACTAACGTGATGACGTCACTGCAAAATTCAAAAACTGAATAACCGATCTAAAAACTGACACCGAGTTAACTGTAAAAACGAAAAATCGTAAATTAAAAAATTGATAAAAATCAGATGTTGATAAATCCAAATTTTGAAAAACTTGCAAATCGAAACATTGTACATTTAAAAAATTCCAAATTAAAAATCGAAAAACTGAGACATCAAAAATAAAAAGAAAATCAATCAAATAAAAATTGATTTTCTGGCATAAAAAAAACTACACATTTAACGTCTTTTGGCTTGCTTTAAGGTACCTAAAATTCCAGAGTCCCTAGATATACTTTACTGTAGACCGAGGTGCGGCGCCTCATTGCAAAATCCATATTTCCCCTTTAAAAATTTACCCTGTCAAACGTGTTTAAATTTCTAAGGATAAAAAAATCATCACAATTGAGTTGGGATGGGTGGGCGGGGTGTATGTTTTGCCTTTTTTTCTTGATATACTTAGTATTTTTTGAACAACACGACACTCAAAAACATGTTTTTAATTTCTTGTAAACAAATAAGTGTTTGCAGTTAAGCTCTGCCCCCTTGGTTTACGGCGAATAAAAAAAAATATCACAATAGAGATAGGGCGGGTGGGCGGGCTTACATTTTGCCTTTTTGTTTTAATATACATATGTAGACTTCTTTTCACAACATAAAACATGTTTAAAATGGTAAATTTGTATAAGGAAATATTGATTTTGCATTTACGCTCCGCTCCGTAATTGCAAAATCCATTTTCCTGGCAAAAATGTACGATTTTAACCATGTTTTCAGTTTCTTGTTGTGAAAAGATGGCCATGTAGGTATATTAAAGAAACAAGGCAAAATATAAGCCCCGCCCACCCACCCTATCTCAATTCTGATGATTTTTTTTTATTCGTCGTAAGCCGGGGGGCGGAGATTAATTGCAAAATCCATATTTGTCTAAAAAAATTACAATTTTGAACATGTCTTAAGATTCTTGTAAGACATGTTTTTAAGTATCCTGTTATTCAAAGAATACTATGCTATACCCATTTCTGCCCTGATCTAAATAGTAATGAAGTTTTCATTCGTTGCCAGACCGAGGGGCGGCGCCTAATTGCAAAATCCATATTTCGCTATAAAAATTTACCATTTTAAACATGTCTTAAGTTTCTAAGAATAACAAAGATCATTACAATTGAGATGGGGTGGGTGGGCGGGGTTTATATTTTCCCTTTTTTTTTCTTAACACCTATACATAGTATTCTTTGAACAACACGATACTCAAAAACATGTTTTTAATTTTTTGTAAAGAAACAGGTATCTTTTTATTTTTTTGTAGAAGTTATTTCCGGCTTCGTTTTTTCGAAAATTCCAACAATTCTTTCAAAATCGATACATGAAAAACAACAATTTTTGAAATACGAGTAATTTTTACTTCCCGAGCGTACGCAAAGGAAGTATTGTAATCGAGTCCGTCGGCCGACTCTCTACTTTTGCATTTTCTCGACCTATCATGACCCCTAGAGGACGAAGAAATAGGTCTCCCGTTTCCGTCTGTCTGTCCGTCTGTCTGCCGTCCCGGATTTTTATTAGACAGATAATCTCCGAAAGTACTGGGCCGATTGTTGTCAAATTTTGTACTTTTGTTAGGTATATCACACACATGTAGTTTATGACTTCAAATCCGGAAAAAATCAAAATTAGGATTTAAATTAAAGATTGAAAACTAGAAAACCTAAAATCGGAAAACTGTAAAGTCGAAAAGTTGAAGAAACAAAAATTTCCAAATGGAAAATTTGGAAATCGTGACATTTAAAATCGAGAAACTGCAAAATTCAAAAACTGAATAAACGATCTAAAAACTTACAAACCGAGCTAACTGTAAAATCGAAAAATCGTAAATTAAAAAATTGATAAAAATTCAATGTTGATAAATCAAAATTTTGAAAAACTTGCAAATCGAAACCTTGTACTTTTAAATTTTAGGAGTAAAAAAATCATCACAATTGAGACGGTGTGGGTGGGCGGGGTTTTTATATTTTGTCTTTTTTCCTAATATACATAGTATTCTTTGAACAACACGATGCTGAAAAACATTTTTAATTTTTTCTCAAGAAATAAGTGTTTGCAGTTAAGTTCTGCCCTCTTGGTTTACGGCGAATAAAAAAAATTATCACAAATGAGATAGGGCGGGTGGGTGGGCTTACATTTTGTCTTTTTATTTTATTATACATATGTAGATTTCTTTTCACAACATAAAACATGTTTAAAATGGTAAATTTGTATAAGGAAATATCGATTTTGCAAGTACGCTTCGCCCCGTAATTGCAAAATCCATTTTTACTGGCAAAAATGTACAATTTTAACCATGTTTTAAGTTTCTTGTTGTGAAAAGATGGCCATGTATATTAAAGAAACAAGGCAAAATATAAGCCCCGCCCACCCGCCCTATCTCAATTCTGATGATTTTTTTTATTCGTCGTAAGCCGAGGAGCGGAGATTAATTGCAAAATCCATATTTGTCTAAAAAAATTACAATTTTGAACATGTTTTAAGTTTTTTGTAAGACATGTTTTTAAGTATCCTGTTATTCAAAAAATATTATGCTATACCCATTTCTACCCTGATCTAAATGGTAATGAAATTTTCATTCGTTGCTAGACCGAGGGGCGGCGCCTAATTGCAAAATCAATAATTCTCTATAAAAATTTACCATTTTAAACATGTTTTAAGTTTCTAAGAATAACAAAAATCATTACAATTGAGATGGGGTGGGTGGGCGGGGTTTATATTTTCCCTTGATAAAAATCAAATGTTGATAAATCAAAATTTTGAAAAACTTGCAAATCGAAACATTGTACATTTAAAAAATTCCCAATTAAAAATCGAAAAACTGAGAAATCAAAAATAAAAAGAAAATCAATCAAATGAAAATTGATTTTCTGGCATAAAAAAACCACACATTTTACGTTTTTTGGTTCTTAAAATTCCATTTTTTGCCAAAAAATTTCGACAGTGCATGTAATTTTTTCGATATTTAGTTGTAAGTTGAACATCTTGGGCTTTACCTCATCAACTTCTTAACTCATGAGCCGCCGCTGATAGATATAGATTTTAGTAGAGTCCCTAGATATACCATTTTAGCCGTGTTTTAAATTTTAGGAGTAAAAAAATCATCAAAATTGAGGTGGGGTGGGTGGGCGGGGTTTTTATATTTTGTCTTTTTTCCTAATATACATAGTATTCTTTGAACAACACTATGCTGAAAAACACATTTTTAATTTTTTTTAAAGAAATAAGTGTTTGCAGTTAAGTTCTGCCCTCTTGGTTCACGGCGAATAAAAAAAATTATCACAAATGAGATAGGGCGGGTGGGTGGTCTTACATTTTGCCTTTTTGTTTTAATATACATATGTAGACTTCTTTTCACAATATAAAACATATTTAAAATGGTAAATTTGTATAAGGAAATATCGATTTTGCAATTACGCATTGTACGATTTTAACCATGTTTTAAGTTTCTTGTTGTGAAAAGATAGCTATGTAGGAATATTAAAGAAACAAGGCAAAATATAAGCCCCGCCCACCCACCCTATCTCAATTCTGGTGATCTTTTTTTATTCGTCGTAAGCTGGAGGGCGGAGATTAATTGCAAAATCCATATTTGTCTAAAAAAATTACAATTTTGAATATGTCTTAAGTTTCTTGTAAGACATGTTTTTAAGTATCCTGTTATTCAAAGAGTACTATGCTATACCCATTTCTACCCTGATCTAAATAATAATGAAGTTTTCATTCGTTGCCAGACGGAGGGGCGGCGCCTAATTGCAAAATCCATATTTCCCTATAAAAATTTACCATTTTAAATATGTTTTAAGTTTCTAAGAATAACAAAGATCATTACAATTGAGATGGGGTGGGTGGGCGGGGTTTATATATGTATATTTTTTTTAATACCTATACATAGTAGGCTTCGTTTTTTCGAAAATACCAACAATTTTTTCAAAATCGATACATGAAAAACAACCATTTTTGAAATACGAGAAATTTTTACTTCCTGACTCTCTACTTTTGCATTTTCTCGACCTATCATGACCCCAAGAGGACGAAGAAATAGGTCTCCCGGATTTTTATTAGACAGATTATTTCCGAAAGTACTGGGCCGATTGTTGTCAAATTTTGTATTTATATTATGTATAATTATATCATGTAGATGGTAAAACGCTAACCAAAATTTGTCTAATCATCCCCACCACTAATGCGATGACGTCACTTCAAAATTGTACATAGTAAATAGGTCTTAAATTGTATAAAATAACATAGTCCTACACATGTAGTTTATGACTCCGAATCGAGATTTTACCCGAAACGTCCAGATTTTTGGAAAAAAATCAAAATTAGGAAACAAGATTTTGACATTTAATTTGGAATCTGCAGAACCGAATGCTTTGAAATCTTGCAGATGGTTTACAGTTATGATAAGCAGGATAAGTTTTCATTCAAAATATGTTTACTTGTCCCCTCCAAAAAATTAATGACGTCACCTCAAAAGTTTGCCGAATAAATTCTTTCGCAAATGTGCAAAATATGA